TCTATAAGTGTGTATCTCCCTCTATATACTTCGTCTGTCATCTTTGAGGAAATCTGCTGTCTCCTACACAGAGATGCCGAACAGGAATGTGCTAGTGGCCGACAAACAATTGCCACTTGGTCAAAAACTAGAAACTTCTTGCAAAATCTTCCCTTAAAAACACACAGCTTTGTAAGCTTTTAACCACAAAACACACTGTTTATTTGAATGTTTTGGGACTCTGTTTAAATGTATTTACTGTGGTACCAATAACTGGATATGTTTATGTGAAAATTTCATTGGAATTTTGTGTATGAGGTTATTTTAAAGGTCAACTTCACAGAGAAACCATTTTTTACTGATTATTTCTGATTATAATGGGTCATTCTGAGTTTTTCATTCAGGCTGAACATGAAAACAGTCTCCTACACTTATCTACTGCATTAGCTTCTGAGAGCAGTGAAGTGCTGTAGAGGGTAACAGAATTGCTGCCATGTTGGATGGATCTTTTCACTCTCCAAACCCAACAGGAGTGAACGCTGAGTGAAGAACTGTGCCTGTTATTGTGCTGCCTACGGTTGCAACAACCGGCGCACTATTGAAAACAAATCACTTGTTTTGTTTACTAGTGACTTTTCTAGCCCACCTGTTCAGATTTTATATTTTAATTGATTTAATTTGTTTTATTTAATTTTATTTATTTTTTAACTATCATGAAATGTCTGATTTTATAAAAAGGTGTTACAAAAAAGTGTTTTTAGTTTGGTAAACACCTTCCTTAGTAGAAATAAATGCACTGTTGGTGAATAAAAGTCCATCCGAGATGGCGGCTTGCTGCTATGCCAGCTTAAATAGGCAGCGCCAGTATACATCACATTTGCATATGATGTCTGTGATCTTGACTAGTAGAAGCAAGCCATTAGCATAATCAACTCCACCAAAAGGACTTTTCCAGGCTTTTTTATGGAGATAAAACATCAGTGTTGCAGAGCAAACTGTCAGAGTTGTGTTGCTGTTAAGCAATCAGAGGGGAGATGTCCAAATATCAGGAAAACAGACCCCAAATCCTGCCATCTGAAGCTACTTTCTAACCTAACTTTAATTTCTCGATGCTGAAACGGCTCACCAGAGCTTTTTTTCCCCAGAGTATGATCGCAAGGCATTCTTTCCTACTAGAGACCATTTCAAATGTATCAAAAAATGAGCTTTAAGGGCTGGGGTGGGGTGAGTGTGTGTTCTGTTCTTAGTCTGTCAGGACTGCAGATGTGAATTGGGCCAGCAGCTCACTTGGGTACGATGCATCAAATGCCAACATTTATGTTTAAAATTGTAAATAGTCTCTAACAGTACTCAGTGGAGTCTCTTCTGAAATAGGAAATGTGAATACAACTTTCTTATTTATCATGTCACATGTTCTTTGATCCATTTTCTATCCTTCCAGCACTTTTAACAATCTAGGCGTTAGTTGCAGCACACTGTGACATTTATGTCTGAGCATTACTGCTTTTAAGGCAGTGGTTGGTGAGCGCATCAGAGCCTTTTGCCTGCACAACTAGCATTTTGTCTGAGGTGTAAAATATCAGGTAGAATTCAGCAAGATTAGCTGCAAACCTGAAAAACTGCAACACAATTCACCTTCAAGGGAAATTATATATTTGTGTTAGATGTTGGAGCAATCAGAATGAGTGAATTTCCTCACTGTTGTGTAACATCCAGCAATGGTCAGTTTTAGGTACAGTTTGACCATTCAACATCCGGTCAAAAAGGAGACACGAGACCGCATGTGTCCCCTTTAAATCAGCCTGCCTTCATCCCATCAGCTGGAGCTCAGAGCCTGTCTGCAGCTCAGAACACAGATAACGAATTGTCAACAATAATGTTCTCTCCTCAAGGTCTCAAGGCTTCCCTTATCGTTCTACAGGATTCTTCATGCCTCTGAATAAGTGAACACTCGCAGCCCGGATCAGTTGCTAAATCAAAGAATGACTTCCTAAATTAAACATGAACTTCTAAGACCTATAAGCTAGATAATCATTAAATAAATGCTTGTTTAGTGCTACTTATAATAATTACAATATAATGAAATGTTTCATTAATCTGTGCTCAATGATTGAAGTTTGAAATGAATGTTATGCTATGATTACAGTGATTGATATATGTTTCAGCATGTTTATATGACAAGGTCATCACCATTCACACTCACACAAGAACAAAGTAAAGTTAAACTCATGACACATAGATAGCCCTTTACCCCAGATCAGAGCATCCGATATCAAGGAAGGCATGTTTCTGAGTTGTCTTGGTAACATTCCTCAACTTGTCAACCTCTGGTTGGCTACACAAATCATAACATGAGAACATTAAAACTGGATCACTCTGGTGATTCATCAGTTCAGTTCAGCTCAGCGGTTCAGCAGTTCTAGAGAAAGCTTCAGACCAACCGTCTGAAGCAAAACCCTTTTTAACCCATCAAAGCTTTTGACACGTTGTCAAAATCTTTTCGCACCTGCAAAGCTGATACAGCAACAGTTCCTGCAGAACAAGCTGATATTGTTTAGACTCCTTAAGAGTCCCAGACGCGCGGTTCCATCCATCTGTTGTGACCTGGAGACAACTCTAAGACTGGTCTAGTCGTGCCGCAGTTTCTTCCACGGACCTCGGTGCCTGGAAGTCTGAGGACTTCGACATTCCAGATCTATCACGAGGGTCTTCGAGTCGGTATGTAGACATGACCGATAGCGTCGGATGTGTTTTTGATAATAATCAACTTCATAGCTTAACGCAAACCAAATTCTTTTACATCCAGAGCTCAGCTCTCCTAGATATGGAAGTTCTGATAACATCGCATTCACACATAGGTTCATATATCACAGTAAATGCTTAGATAACTTGTCATGTTTTAATTGTTTGTAAAATAAATTCCTACTTTTATAAACCTGACTCTTTTCTGAATCAAAACAAAGTGTTTACAATCCCTTAATAAACAAAGAATCCTAGAATCTTCTGATAAACACACAACAACCAGCAGGGCTCTTTTGACTTATTATTTGCATCTACTGTAATGACTTTATACTGTAGATGGGTTTTATCTATTTCTGGGGACTGTTTATATTTTCCATACTTGATAGTATCCTGAAAATTTTAACTGTGTTTTTTTAACTAGCTGTGTACCTTATACCTGCCCCCATACTCTATAGCACTTTCAGATTACTTCTGTAATGTAAAACACATTATAAATAAAATGTATTATTTTATTATTATTATTATTATTATTTTTAGCAGCTGCAAGGGGTGCATTCCTAGGGACGACCCTTGCTCTAAGGGCTGCAGCAATCTGGTGCAGGAGTGTGATGTTTCAGTCTCATGAAGCAGCTGTGTGATAAATGTTGAGAAGAAGCAGCATCTTCAAACAGGAGGAGATACAGGAAGCCCGCTACAACATCTAGAAAAAGGGAGATATGAAGAAGGAACGGAGGAGGAACCGTGGGAGCTGCTTACAATCTGGACATTTTAGTGAAAAATTCTTCAGTGCAACAATATTACCAACAACAAATTTTTTGGGATTTACAAACAGTAGACACATTTTCAATTTATCAACTGGTTACAGTTGTAAAAACTTTAAAATAACATTTGATTTTATTTACAGTAGATGTAATGAACATGTATGGTACAAAGATTATTTTGTGATAAAAACTTAGCAGAAAACATGATATGAAGTCATAGAAGAACTTTAGCCTGCTGTGCTCACATTCGTGTGTGTGTGTGTGTGTGTGTGTGTGTGTGTGTGAGATAAATGATATGTGATTTCATCTGGGCAGCACTCATGCATGTCCTGGCCTGTCTGACCATCTTTCTCTTTTTAGACCCTCTGAGTGTTTATGTGTGTAAACACGAGTCGACTGATTGCTACACACATACACAAAAATAACGCGTGTGTGTTTGATTACAACATGTGTGTGTTTGGGAATCCTGCTGCTGATCCCTCAGATTAAATCCAGATGTGCGTTTAGATTTTCCGTCAGGTGCAGAGCAGTTGGCATAATTTAGTATTTAGTTTGTCATGCACTTGGAACAACGAGACATTATATGTAAACGAGCTTATAATGAAAATGCAAGCAGACCAGTTCTGTAACTGAAACACAACTATGACGATGCTCATTTAGACAGAACATGGAGACTAAATAAGATACATTTTGCTTTTATTTAGCAGCATTTTTTAGCTTTTTCATTCCCCACCCACATCAAAACTCCACGCAGCTGGAGAGGTTTGTGCAACGTTTGTGCTGATTTGTGCCATTTTGTGTCTGAAATATTCAAGATGATGTAATAGGTTATTCAGGGATCACCAACCCCCTTAGGAACTACTTTTTGAGTCCTATTTATGCTGATTTTTGCTCTTATTTAATTGTTTTGGAAATCTTTAATTGAGACTGTAAAATTTCACTGATAGTAAAGCGTGAGCTACTCGTGACAGACGGCTATTTTGTGCAGTTTTAATGGAGAATATGAAATGTTCTTAACTTTTCAGCTTTCAATAAAGTGAATCATTTCCCACACCCAGATAAATCTATAATCAGAAATAGAAAAAAATATGAATGAAAAATAAAAACAAGGCTCAATTCATTACAAGTAAAAACAATCATCATGCATGTTGAACTTTACTGACCAATACAAACAAAGGCTCAAAGTAATTTGTAAGACATTTCCAGCAGCAACAGGTCGAAAAGCATCAAATTATAAACATTATTTACACGAATTAGCACATTATTAACGCCATAGACCTCAGATGTCATCATTCAGATAAGATATGTGATAAATAAAGCTATATAGAAACAGGTGCACTAACCACTCCGCTTTGCGTGAATTTCTGATGGGGGGGGGGGGGGGGGGGGGGCAGCTTCACTTGTCCATTTAATTATTTTTTTGCAGGTGCAGCGTGCGTCGGGGCCGCGCAGGGCCGCGCGCCCCGGCTCCTGCCCCTCCCACCCCCGCAGCCTGTTTAACAGCTCGCTGAACAGCGCTGTTAGCCCATACACCCGCAGCGCTCGCGGATCCAGGCTCTTCAGCGAGTGCGCTGCGCTGATTTTGGTTGAAACTTCGTGTCCACGCGGCTGTGCAACAAAAGGACGTTTTTTTCTTCACATTTCTAGAGCTTTGAGTTCAGAAACCAGCTGATAAAAGTGGATGAAGACTTTAAGCCGAAAGCTTCACAGCTGCGGACTCTGAATTAAGACTCTACCAAGGTAAGCTTCTCATGCGCGCGCCTTTAATGTGAAGTGAAAGCTCAGTGCGCGCTTTTACGCACTTTGGATGCTTAAGACTTTAACTTGACCACACCGCAAACTTTCTAACCACAGAGAGCTGCTGCCAGTGAATTAAAGAAAGATGTGGCGTTTTTAATGAAACGAAACGTTGACAGATCCATCAGCAGCTCCCGGCGGGGCGCACGCCAGGATCCGTGGAGTAGGACGCGCCTGTAGGGACTCAGATATGTGGAGGCTGGATTAGTTCTTATCTCAGTCGCGGTAGTGCCGAATAATTTGGATTATAGGTTGTTATCTGCGATTTCCTCGGGTTCTCTCTGACCTTAGGCTGCTTAAAACCTCTCTTTTCGGGTCAGAGAGATGATCTGATTTGCTCTTTTTGCAGTTATTCGCTCCGGTTTTCTTTGTTTTCACTGTCTTTTAAAAACGTCCCAATCATTCTTTAATAACAACATTTAAAACAAGTTGATCTAAATCAGCAGGAACATGAGGTTTGATGAGGGGTTAGATTGACAGACGTGTTTTCTAATATTAATTAGAAAATGCAAAGTTTGGCAATTTAGGGTTTTTGGGAAGGTTTAAACCTGTGGTGGGCATTAAGCTAATAGAAAAATATTGACTTTAATTAAAAATTTTAATGAAAATCATAAAGTTTTATAAAAATGTTATTTCATGAGTCATTTTTGCGTATTGATCTGTTGTCAGAGCACGTTTTAGTTCTGAGGTGTGATGAACTAAATTGTAAAAGCAATAAAAAAATCTAAAGAAAAAAGGATGTTTGAACAGAAAACAATTTATTTTTGCATTACTGTTTTATTACACATAAAATGACATTAGTGTTATGATTCAGTTTCAGTTTATGTCGAAATCCTAGATTCTACATTTGATTTGTCTATAAACTTGCTCTGTTTGGTGATTTATTAGGAATACATCAGAGGATTTTCTGCAAAGCATGCCCAAGATGTTCATTTGATAGGAATCAGACAGCATTTTGCTCATCGGGACCTTTTGCCTTTGCTGTGAGGAGTTTTGAGGCGCTAAGACAAACTCATGATGGAATAAGAATGGGAAAAGCAAAGAAAGGTGGAGACAGAGGGATGGCTCAGCGAATGTACCTCAGGACGAGAGAGCAAACCAAACATTCTTCCCTCCGTGTCTTGGCAATTTAATTAAGGTTTATGAAAGATGCTGCAGCGAGCACCTCGAGATGAAGGCTTAACCCAAACTACCCTCCCCTGTTTTCAACCTTGGACTAATCCCAGGGGTCAGCTAATAAGTGTTCAGGTCATGCCACCATGTCAACAGAACAGGACAGAACGCAAAGGAAAGCTCCTCGATCAGAGACTTAATAACCCCATGAGAGAAGTTAAGAGCTACAAGGTGAAGAGTTCTGGATTAGTGTGTGTGTGTGTGTGTTTGATATTCGACATAGATATATATATCGAACGATATGAAACAAATAGCTATTTTTGTCAATCGTGTTTTCTGGTACTTTCAAGTAACATAGATATCAGAATATATTTCTAAAGATTCATTTTCGAAAGCTGAACACATGAAACATCAAATAACTGTTTTGGATTGATAAAAGAGGTTTAATCTAAACTAAAACCATCAATCCTTAGTGGAGAACAGAACTCAATAAAATAGGTGTCAAAATATCACATCTCAAAATCTCTGCTTGGTTTAAATGTAGCTTTTTTATGAATAAGCATAAAAAATAAATATTAGGAGACAACCTTTTTATATCAGTGAAAATTTAAACAGCTTTCAAAGAAAAAAAATCTAAACAATAAAACAGACATCATCTAGTTTCAGAAAAGGACCAAAACTGTAATTCTTAATGTTCTCTGTAGCATTTAACTGTAGCAATCTGTTGTGCATGAATCAATTAGTTTAGTCTGCTGAGATCGGTTCGTGTTTGGTCTAGACTTTCATATAGTAGCTGCTACAAGCCAAACTATGTCCCCCCGACTGAACTGTTCAGTCCCTTACTTTCAACCACGTCATTGCTTGTGTCCTTCCTCTCCTTATCTCGTTTGAGGCACTGATATTTTCTGTTTTTACTAGCCATTGTTGAAGTTTTTAGTGATGATTAAAACTCATGATAGCACAAATGGCTTTGCCAACAACTTAAGTATCAGTAGATGCAGTGGTGTTCATGGTTGGAAATAATGGTGGAGTATTTATTTGACACTGTGTTTTGCCCTCGTTCTGCCATGGCTGCTAGCACTTTAAGATCATCGACACAACACGCAGGTGAATTTAGCCTCCTGGAGTGAAGGCCAACACAAAATAAGAGTGTAGAACTGCTAAGTGGTAAATGACAAACAAATTTTCCATTGATTATGCTGACACTGTAACTGGAATTCCAATTTGACTGAATGCACAGCCATGCATTAAAGCGATGGTAAAAAAACAGGTTGTGGTATAATAATGATGCAAGTTCTTCCCCCTGGACTGCTCTACCAGTGTATCCACCTGACACCCTGTGTATTTGTCTGACGGGTTATTAGCAAGGACATTCTGATTAAATGTTTGGAGTTATGTTGGATAACAGTATCATTTCTTTCACTGATCTTTTTTTTGTCTGGGTCTGAACTTTCTGTTGAGCACATCTGGGAAAGTTTAAGGAAGCGAAGATGGAGCAGACATCCAGCATCAACCCCTTTTGTTCAGCCTTTAAACTGATCTCTGTTTGTTCCCCTGACTGTTTTTTCATTTGAGAGATTCAAAACAAAATCAGTTCATCTGAACCTAATAACTTTGTAAGTTTGGAGAGGTTGTTGTAGAATCTGTAATTCAGGGGTAAAACATGGAAACCAAAGAAAGAGTTCTGGTGTTTGTGTTAGAAGTGACGGAACTTCTGAATGCATTTTTGTCTATATGAGCTTGAATCCAGCCTAATTACGTTTCTGCTTTCAGCACCAAAAACCGACTCACGTACTCACGTAACGTCTAAAAATTCCTCGACATAAGAAGAATTCTAGACTCAATTATCACGCAGCAGGCTGAGGCTTTTCATGCCCACCAGAATGGAACCGGCACTTTGAGTTCCTCATCTCCACAGGCCGGCATGGTTCAGGACTTGTCACTTCTTTACCAACTCATGGAGCGCATCCTTAAACATATTTTTCAGTCTTCCTCACAGGCTGCTGTGTAAACATGGTGGTTCTGCAGTAGGAGGAAGGAACATCACAAACAAACACACACACACACACACACACACACACACACACACACACACACACAAACAAACAAACAAACAAACGTGAACCTCAGAATATTCTATGGCACCAGCAGACAGAAAACTCCAAAACCAGATCTAATTATGCTTTAGACATGAAATCAACTTAATTTATATTAGATTGTGTTGTTTGATTGCTAAGAAAAAAACATTTCTTTTCAATAATTTGACCCTTTGAACATAATCTGCCTCTTATATTAAAATAAACATTTTTATTTGTAGCTCAGAAGTAAAATAAAATGGAGATTACTGCGTGTCCCTCTTAGCTTAACATGCCCTTTTAATTCTGACCCACCTGAATACATTGCTCAGTGCGATTTTGTGAAAAGGATCAGAACAAAAATCAAACCTATTAAAGGCGCACTTGTCAGTTTTACTTGCTTATAGCACCCTTTAGTGTCCGTTATTATTTACCTGTTGTCAAAACAACAGTGAAACTTATCTCCTCTCTGTGTGTTCGTCTTTTTAACACCTTTATCTAAAAGTTGAAATGTCTCCTCAGCCTTCATTAGAGTCTACAGGAGCAGTTTATCACTAGATTAATATCAGCTGTGTTTATGTTTATGATTCATGTTTATGATTTATTCAATTCAATTCAATTTTATTTATATAGCGCCAAATCACGACAAGAGTCGTCTCAAGGCACTTCACACAATAAACATTCCAATTCAGGTCAGTTCATTAAGCCAATCAGAAATAATATTTCCTATATAAGGAACCCAGCAAATTGCATCAAGTCACTGACTAGTGTCAATGACTTTACAGCAATCCTCATGCCAAGCAAGCATAAAGCGACAGTGGAGAGGAAAACTCCCTTTTAACAGGAAGAAACCTCCAGAGAATCCTGGCTTAGTATAACACACACACACACACACACACACACACACACACACACACACACACACACACACACACACACACACATCCCCCACTACAATGACCTTATAGACACAAAGTAATGTGTCTATAGTTATATTGTGATGTCTTAGTTAATTTTCTATTTGGTGAGAGATAAACTTTATTGTATTTATCCTAATGAATCTATAATTAAACGGATAAACTAGCAGTAGCACATCCAACGTCAAGGAAAGCAAAAAGTTATTATCAGGAGAGGGAGAATGTTTAAGTGGTTAGCAGCAGTGTGCTAGACGTTGGCCCCCTCCATGAGGCCACCACAGCTCAGCAGAACATCATTGTAGCTTCTTCTGGGGAGAAAAACACTTAGAGAAAAAATAAAGTTAACAGCTGAAATTGCAGAAAATAATACAGTTAAAGAGCAGATTGTAGAAGAAAGTAGTAGAGTGTGAAAAGTGGTCAGTGTGTCCTCCAGCAGTCTAAGCCTATAGTAGCATAACTACAGAGATAACTCTGGCTAATCTATCCTATTTAGATGGAGGCATGTTGGAGTCAGGGCAAGGGAGAGCCGTCTTTACTGACTGTACACTCCACCTCCCTCTGCTCCCCCACTTCTCCAGATTTAGGTTAACATCAGATTTTAACTATAGGCCCTATCAAATAAAAATGTTTTAAGCCTAGTCTTAAAAGTAGACAAGGTGTATGCCTCACGGACTAAAGCTGGGAGCTGGTTCCACAGGAGAGGAGCCTGATAACTAAAAGATCTGCCTCCCATCCTAATTTTAGATATTCTGGGAACCACCAGTAAACCTGCAGTCTGAGAGCGAAGTGCTCGGTTAGTAACGTATGGAACAATCAGATCACTGATGTATGATGGAGC